TTAGGAAGAATAATGAATATTCGTAGAAAAGCCTTAGGCATGTTTAATATATTATTGTGATTGTGTACACATTCCCGTCATATAATTACGATTCTAAAAACCAATTCGGAGTATGTGTTCGCACAACTTCGACCAAACTTTCTCAATAATAATAAAATTGTTATTAATATAGTCCGCTTTAATTAAATATAGTTCTTTTAGACCGAGGTGTGCCATCCATAATTGAATCCCTATGGCCCTCATATTAATTTTGTAACTTAGCTATTAAAAATGAATATTCGTAGAAAAGCCTTTAGGCGCGACTTAATCTACTATTGTGATTGTGTACACGTTCGCGTGACATAATTACGATTTTAAAAAATAAAATCGGAGTATGCGTTCGCGCTACTTCGACTAAACCTTTTTAATAATATTAATAAAGTGTTACTAATTGTGGACACGTTCGTGAGACATGATGTTCGACGCGCCAAACAAATGGGTACACGTACGCCTGACCTGTTTTAAGTTAATTTCATAATTAAAAGAGGTGAAAGCACATAGGTTCCAAAACGAGTAGTTAAACAATTTGATTAAGCCAAGTATGATCAAAGCGACCGTGCTAAAACCACGGAACTCGGGAGTGCCTAACACCTTCTCCCGGGTTAACAGAATTCCTTACCCGGATTTCTGTGTTCGCAGACTGTAAAACAGAGTCAAATTTCCTTGATTCGGGATTCTAAACTGGTGACTTGGGACACCATGAACTATCCCAAGTGGCGACTCTGATCTTAAAAAATAATCCCGTTTCGATTGTCACTTAAGTTGGAAAAACTCCCTTATATCCCCTTCCGGGGGTTGTAAAAAGGAGGTGTGACACTTCTAACAATCTCACAAGTACAGAAAATAGGACTGGCGAGGTTACCGAGCAGGGGGTGCAACCTGGTGAGGTTATTGAATAGGGGGATCAACTTGATGATTATGTCGAGGAAGTGGAGTACCCCACTCAGGAAGAAGAAGAACCTCAACCTATGAGGAGATTAGAGAGGCCAAGGGTAGAGTCATGCAGGTACCCTTCCATAGAGTATGTCCTCATCAGTGATGAATGGGAGCCATAAAGTCTTAAAGAGATGCTGTCCCATCCCAAAAAGAACTAGTGGATGAAAGCCATGAAAGAAGAGATGGAATCTCTGCAGAAAAATGGCACGTACAAGCTGGTTGAACTTCCTAAGGGTAAAAGACCACTCAAATGCAAATGGTTCTTTAAACTCAAGAAAGATGGAAATGGCAAAATGGTAAGATACAAAGCTCGATTAGTATTAAAAGGATTCGAACAGAAGAACGGTATTGATTTTGATGAAATTTTCTCATCTGTTGTCAAAAGGACTTCTATTTGAACAATCTTGAGCTTAGCAGCTAGCCTAGATTTTAAAGTGGAGCAGTTGGACGTGAAAATTGCATTTCTTCATGGAGATTTGGAAGAAGAGATCTATATGGAGCAGCCAGAAGAATTTGAAGTAGTTGAAAGGAAACACATGGTGTGCGAACTGAATAAGAGTCTTTATGGGTTGAAACATGCACCAAGGCAGTGGTACAAGAAGTTTGAATCATTCATGAAAAGTCAAACTTACATAAAGACGTATTCTGATCTATTTATATACTTCAAAAGATTTTTAGACAACAATTTTATTATTATTTTGTTGTTGTATGTGGATGACATGTTAATTGTACGAAAAGACAAGGAGTTGTTTGCAAAGTTGAAGGGAGATGTGTCCAAGTCATTTGATATGAAAGACTTGGGCCCAGCACAACAAATTCTGGGTATGAAGATAGTTAGAGAGCTAACAAGTAGAAAGTTATGTCTGTCTCAGGAGAAGTACATTGAACGTGTACTGGAATGCTTCAACATGAAGATGCTAAGCCAGTGAGCACGCCTCTTGTTAGTCATCTGAAGTTAAGCAAGAAGATGTGTCCTACAATAATGGAGGAAAAGAAGAGCATGACCAAAGTTCCTTATTCCTCTGCTGTCGGAAGTTTGATGTATTCAATGGTATGCACAAGACCTGATATTGCACACGCGTTGGTGTTGTCAGCATGTTTCTTGAAAATCCTGGAAAAGAACACTTGGAAGCAGTCAAGTGGATACTCAAGTACCTGAGAGGTACCGCGGGAGATTGTTTGTGCTTTGGACGATCTAATCCAATCTTGAAGGGCGATACAAATGTTGATATGGCAGGTGACATTGATAACAGAAAATTCACTATTGGATATTTGTTTACATTTTCAGGGGGAGCTATATCATGGCAGTCGAGGTTGCAGAAGTGTGTCGCACTCTATACAACTGAAGCGGAGTACATTGCCGCTATTGAAGCTGGCAAAGAGATGATATGATTGAAACAGTTCCTTCAAGAGCTTGGATTGTATCATAAGGAGTATGTCGTCTATTGTGACAGTCAAAGTGCAATCGATCTTAGCAAGAACTCCATGTACCATGCAAGGACCAAACACATCGACGTGAAATGTCACTGGATTCGAGAAACGGAAGAGAATGAATCTCTAAAAGTCTTGAAGATTCCTACAAGTGAGAATCCCGCAGATATGCTAATCAAGGTGGTACCGAGAGAAAAGTTCGAATTGTGCAAAGAACTTGCCGGCATGCACTCAAGCTAGAAGTCTGATGTTACCTCCTTCAGGTAAATGGGTCTGGAGGGGAAGGTTTGTGGGGTCCATCCCCATAAATGAAAAAAAAAGGAAGGAAAAGTGTTAATTACTATGACTTATTTGATTTGCAAATAATTTATTATGACTTAATTGATTTGCAAATTTGCAAACTGTCAAATATGATAGGCGCTCAACACTATAAAAGAGACTTTCGACTCTCATTTCTACACACCAACAAAGAGAGAAAGAAAGAGTGAGGCATCACAAACATGGTATAAGAAAATAGTCTGTGAAAAAAATAGAAAGTGAGCGATATTGTAGTGAGGTGGGAATATCATAAGAGGGTTATTTCTGTTGAGTGTTGTAGTGGTCTTTGAAGTATTTTACTCGGACCTACAAATTGTAAAATTTCTTACTATAGTGATATCAGTTGCTCCTCTCGGGGTTTTGGTTTTTCCCTTATTCAAAAGGGTTTTCTATGTAAAAATCTTGATATCATTGTCACTCTTTTATTCTTGTTAATTACCATATCTCGGTGCTACGTTATTATTCCGCTTTTATTTTCATGACTATTATTTCTGTGGAGGGTTTATTCCCAACGTTCAAAAGGGACAAAAACAAACTAAAGACAAAAACCAGGGACGTCGACTTTTGCACCATAGTGAATATCTACAACGATACAAGGAAAATACTCAACAAAAAACATTTGGCACTGCACCTAGGGGTGTACATGGACCAGGTTGGTTTGGTTTTTATCCAAATCAAGTCAAACCAACTATATCGATTTGGATTGGTTCAGTTATATTGGGTTTATCATATTTTTCGGTTTTTTGTTATATAAATATTATTTCAAACTTATTTTGTTAAAATTTTGATAAGTAAATATATGTTTAGTAAAAATTGAATAAATTGACAAATATATGATCTATTAAAATATTCTTATGAAAGAATTTTTTTAGTAACAGAATATTTTTTTTTTGCGATTGACAATAATCATTGATGTGTACTTTCAAGGTTAATTGAATTTAATAATTACACATAAAAATAAATATGAAACTATTTAGATATTTTTTATTTAATTTTAAACTATCGAAATACCATTTAAAATTCAAAAAAGATAAAAGAATTTAATAGATCTTGACATATGAATTTTGGAAGAACAAAGAGATTGACACATTTCACTAACATTTGATAAGAAAGTGATCATACAACCCATTATTTAAAGTTAAGAAATATGGAGCACTTCATATTTAACTTTATATTACATCCCGTAAGAGAATCGTATATATATCTAGATATTTTTTAAAGAAAATTCTATAAAAAGTCTTAAAAGTATATATAAAAATTATATATTTATACGTCGGTTTGGTTCGGGGTTTTTTACTCAATACAAACCAAATCAAACCAAACCTGATCGAATTTTTTAATCGATTTGGTTTGACTTTTCGGTTTGGTGCGGTTTTTCGATTCGGTTTGTACATCCCTAACTGCACCATTTCACAATCCGAGTTCCCTGAGGCCTTAGAAGATCGTATCTATTTTTTCAAAAACAAATTTAAACGAGAAGGGAAATAGATACTTAGAAGATAACTTTACTACTATAGTCTATAAGCACAAAAATTAGAAGTAAATCCTAAAAATTAGAGTAAGTTAAAATAGAGTACTTTAAGATTTCCAGCCGTCCGGCCATTTTTTAGGGGACAACGACTACGACTATTTCTCATCTTTAGCTGCTCGCTTGCAATCTCTGCAAACTAATCTTTACCACTTATGGGCCGTTGATTAACCTTTTTTACATTCGTCTAATTGTTTCACTAATCATGAGTTAGTGTATAAACTTAAAGTTAGGTTAATTGCCCTGACTTATCATTTTAAAAAAGGGGGTTGGTAACAGGACTCAAGGTGCATCTTCCTCAATAATCAATCCTTTGCACCGGACCAAATAACCAAAAATCAAGTACTTAGTCTATACGAGAAAGTAAACGTAAACGCTTTGCATTATCCCATCAAGAAGGTAAATCTTGCTTAAACTAGAGTTACTAGCATAATAAGCACAAAATTACAAATGACATATAGTAGTCTTAATCATAAGGATATTTATCTATGCTATTATTTATCATTATCTTAAACGTCTAATTTAATTTGACACGCCGTTAATTGGAACAGTAAGGATGAATTTGAAAAAAAAAAATACAAATAAAGAGTCTCAAAACCAATATTGCGCGGACTCTCCAAAACAACTACTGCACTTGTATTGGATTTTCCAAAAATGCACTATTTTTGGAGGATCCGACACGCACCCATTGACATTTATAGAAAATCCGAGCAACATTGCTCAAAATGACCAAAGAAGAAATGCCTCAAGTTCTCAAATTTATTTACTAAGAGTAAAAGAACATTGAAATTTCAGTCACTTGATATCCAAATGACAAACAAAGAAGCAAAGGCTTCAAAGCTGAAAGGAAAGTAACTAAGTCAAGTCTTTAAAACAGTCCAGAAGATGACTCCAAGCATAATCAAACAAACTACACATTTCCAAAGTCATATTACAAGATTCAACAAACAAATACTCTTATTCTAAATACAATATCTAGGAAAATAACATAATAAATACTCCTCCCCACTCTTTGAATGGCTTACTTCAACTTCAAAGTCATTTCATTTCTCTCCTCAAAACAACACCACAAAATGAGAGGAGAAAAAACATTTTTCTCCTTTCTTCCACTATTCCTTATCTCCTTGTTATTCTTTATCTTCATTTCTCAAACAACAGCTACAAATTACCCAATCAATGTCTGGCCCAAGCCCACAACATTCAATTGGCCCAACCCAAAATCCATCTCCCTCTCCCCAAACTTCACCATCTCCCACCCACCCCACCGTTACCTCACTCCCGCCGTTTACCGTTATCTCCACCTCATCCTCTCCGAGCACCACCGTCCAATCATCACTCCGGCGATCAATCTGACGTCATCAACACCGTTACATAGCCTCATCATATCCATCTCTGACATCACTTCACCCCTTGCTCTCGGAGTCAACGAATTCTATGCTCTCTCCACTCCTTCCGACGGCTCCCCCTCCGCCTATATCACCGCCGAAACCGTATGGGGAGCCATGCGAGGTCTCGAGACGTTCTCGCAACTCGTGTACGGAAACCCTACCAGAGTCACCGCCGGCGTGTACATACACGATCTGCCGATTTTCGCGCACCGAGGTGTGATGCTGGACACTTCGAGAAACTTCTACGGCGTCGATGACTTGTTGAGGCTTATTAAAGCTATGAGTATGAACAAGTTGAATGTTTTCCACTGGCACATAACTGATTCACATTCGTTTCCGCTTGTGATTCCTTCGGAGCCGGAGCTCGCCGGAAAAGGAGCATACGGCAATGAGATGATGTACTCGCCGGCGGACGTGCAGAAGATCGTGGAATTTGGACTGGAACATGGAGTTAGAGTTTTACCTGAAATTGACATGCCTGGTAAGTTCCTTTTGGATGCTTATTACGCCAAATGGATAATATTTTTTAAAATTTTCTAGGTAACCCCGTAAAGGAACAAGATTGGAAACAAGATTGGACTTTTGGAAGTATTACTTTAATTTATTAAGAGCATGGTGATTTTTTTCCCCTTCAGAACATGGTGATCATTAATTAATTTATTGGAACTTAAAGGAACTTTCTTGAATTTATTTTGTACTTTTTGTCTTATGTCAAAAGGTACGAATAACTTTTTTACATATACAAAACAATTGATAGAAAACAAAACCTTTAGGAATAATTAGAGTCTAGTGGCGGAAGAGAGGTGCATCATGCATGGATATACATGTCAAAAATTATTGAAATTTCAATAAAATATTAAATTTTGAGCTCATAATTTTAGAAGTTCTAGATTAATATATCTAAAACTCATTTTGTTCTACTTGACCAAAATGCCATAATCCCAGTTAGAGGCAAAACGCAATAACCCTCCCCAGAAGCAGGTAGTAATAGTTTTGGAAAGCACAAAATCATTTTCCCATGAATGTCACATTGGTTCCTTTGTATAAATAGTGTGAAATAAGATTTCCTTATTCTTTTAGTAGCATCTGAATTCTGAAGTGAAAACAAGCTGAGTAAAACTGCTCTTTGCCAATGGGAAATTAGAGTTTTGGGGTAGCTTTTTCTTGAATAGCAACTTCTATAATGATAAAAGCACCATTGGCAAAAATTTTTTTTTGGACGTTTAGAGCTTGGAATGCGGCTATAGAAAGGGTAATATAAGATTCATGCACATTGGATTACAAAGTACAATTATTTTGTTTAGATATTCCTAGGTAAGGCCATATTGGACAGGATAGGATTCTGAAGTACTCCCTTAGGTCCACAATAAGTGACAAATTTGTTGTGATATTTCCAAAAAGTTGGACAAATGTCCACCATGTGGCAAGATGCATGCAAGTAAAATGGACAAATGTCTTACCCAAGAACATGTGGCAGGCCTTCTATAAGGGAAGAGATAAATGGCAAGAAGCTTTTGAAAAGTGGCAAAATCCATCAGCCACCTTCTTGCTATGCACAACAAAACTTCATGCAAATGAGGCTATAAATAGCCATTTCCAATCACTCATTTTCATCATTAGCAAGACAAAAAGAAATCCTTCTTCTCTTTCCTTCTAGTTTCATTATTCACCAACTTTCCTTTGTTGTATTTCTTTTTGGTAGTTTAACTTCTCTTGTTCCCTCTTTTAAATAGCTGGGTTTGTAATTCAATATTTTGCTGATTCCTGTATCCTCTAAATATATAGAGGTGGGCTTGTTTAATCTTGGGGAAACATTTCACATTGCTGAAATAGTGTCTTAGGACAGTGCCCAGCACGACTCAAGTCAATTCACATATTTCCGCTCACAAATATTATTGCAGTATTATTGTTGTTATTTTCCCGTGTAATTTCCCTACACAATTTGCCTTTTTATTTTGGTCCAAAACAAGTGTCCATTTATATAATCAAGAAAATATTCAATTTGTTTTCCAAAATTACCCTATGTACGTATCCCTAAAAAGTCTTTTACTCCTCACACTAAATTATGCTGCAACATTTAATTAAGGGTAGTTTAGTCACGCTAACTATTTTTATATAGAATTTAGTATTTGCTTAATGGGTGTGCCCAGGGCAAATTGGTCACTTATTGTGGACCGGAAGGAGTATCATTTAACCCATCCAATCCTGGGGATACTTCATTAAAAAAAAAAAAACTATCCAATCCTGGAACTTAAAAGAAACTTGGGGCACGTTAAACAAATGAAAATACTGAATGGTATGCAATGGAAGTTATCATATTGAATATTTTGATCAGATTCTTTTTCTTTTCTGGTTATAATGTTCAGCTAATTGATGGTGTGGCCCTGATATTTTCTTGTCCATATTGAATTGCTAATACTTCAATGAGTTAAAGGGAATCTCTTATCTGAACTGGATCTTAATTTTCATCAGCAGACCTGGGGACCTATATAGCCTAAGATATGAATTTCCTTTTTCTTTTCTCTAAGAATCCCTATTCCTAATGCGGATTCTATGCCTAGACAGTCATCTATATTACAGTAAGGCTCACAAAGACACAGCGAACTCACATCATGCAGTAAGTAAGGAGGAAAGCCATTACGACAGACTGTTTCAATTCTTTGGAGGGTCTCATCTAAAAGCTTAAATCTTGAAGAGAGGCTACTTTTATTTATTATAGGTTTTCAACAAGTTCCCTAAATGTTTCTCTCGGGTTAAGTTTGTGAAACTATTTTGTTGCTGTGTAGTGCTCTGATATCAAATTGAGTTTTGTGAACAGTCTCATCTAAACACTTACACTGAGAAAGGAGACACCTTTTGTAAATTATTACTTCCTCCGTTTCATATTAAATGAGGTACTTTTCTTTTTAGTCTGTTCCAAAATAAATGACACATTTCTAAATTTGGAAATAATTCAACTTTAAACTCCTCATTTTACCCATTTTACCCTTAATGAGAAGCTTTTATAACCACACAAAAGTCATGGCCCCACAAAGCTTTACCCCTTAAGCTTTTAAAACCACAAATTTCAAAAGTCTTTCTTTTTTTCCTTAAACTCCGTGCCGAGTCAAACTATCTCATTTAATTTGAAACGGAGGGAGTACTACTTTGGGCGTGCATTACTTGTGCTGATTCGAGCATGCATTAATGCACAGAAAAGTTCTTTAAGAAACCAACCGTCGAAAATATGAAGTGGACTTAACTGCTACCACTTTATCTGGTTGAAATTAGAACTTTTACCTTTACAAATCATGTGAATCTAACTTTAACAATTCGAAAAAAGCTCTGTTTTGCTTCAAAAACTTACCAACTACTGAAATTTTTGTAATTTTGCACATATTGCAGCACATACAGGATCATGGGCTGAAGCTTACCCTGAGATTATCACTTGTGCAAATATGTTCTGGTGGCCTGCTGCAAGTAGTCCAGCTCTTGCAGCTGAACCAGGTACTGGTCAACTGAACCCCTTGAGTCCCAAGACCTATGAAGTAGTCAAGAATGTCATCCACGCTACTATCGCCATGTTTCCAGATTCGCTCTTTCACGGGGGAGCAGATGAGATCAATTCAGCGTGTTGGAATACTGATCCATCAATCCAAAAGTTTGTCACTAGCAATGGAACTCTCAATCAGCTACTCGAAATGTTTATCAATAATACCTTACCTGAAATCCTCTCACTCAACCGTACGGTGGTCTACTGGGAGGATGTTATATTGAGTGCTAATGTCAAAGTGAATCCATCTCTGCTTTCTCCACAGAATGTTATTATGCAAACTTGGAATAATGGACCAAACAATACTAAGCGGCTTGTCACTTCTGGCTACCGTGTCATTGTGTCATCTGCAGATTACTATTACTTGGATTGTGGGCATGGGAGCTTCGTTGGAAATGACAGCCGCTATGACCAGCCACCAGGTACTGACCAAGGCAATGGTGGATCCTGGTGCGGACCATTCAAGACCTGGGAAACCATATACAACTATGATATAACCTATGGCCTGACTGATGAGGAGGCTCAATTGGTAATTGGAGGGGAAGTAGCATTATGGTCCGAACAAGCTGATTCAACTGTTATGGATTCAAGAATCTGGCCAAGAGCATCAGCAATGGCAGAAACATTGTGGTCAGGGAATCGCGATGAAACAGGAATGAAGAGATATGCAGAGGCTACTGATCGACTGAATGAATGGAGGTACAGAATGGTTGCCAGGGGAATAGGTGCTGAACCAATTCAGCCACTTTGGTGTGTCAAAAACCCAGGCATGTGTAACACAGTTCATCCATTTACTAGCTGATTGTTCATCCGTGTGTACTGGTCTCTTTTTTCAGTTTGCTTTCTCATTTCCTCTCAATTTTATTCAAGGCCGAAAAGGCGGTCATTTAATTATCTGTATTATCTTCTAATTCATAGTCAATTGTAATGTTACTTTCTGTTAATGTTACCACATCACTGAGATTTTACTTAGCAAATGAATTCGGGAATTTTCTATATTGCTGTTTTTCCAATCTCTACTTGCTGGGGATGCTACTATGTGAAACTAGATGCAGCAAACTCTGCAGAACACTTCCTGTGATGAGGATGAAAGGTGGAGAATGCAAATGCTTAGATTATGACATATCAAAAACATAGTTGCATAATCAAAATAAATAAATGTACTGTCCTTATAAAAAATAATTACAGAGTTTCTTAAAGTTTAACGCAAAAGTCAGTCATTAAATTAGTAAAATATTGTACACTTTATGACATATGAATTCAAGAAACTTCATTTCCGTGACACATTGATGTTTCAATGACTTTGCCCCTAGAGTAGGATTACTTACAAAACTCTGGTAACACATATGAATGATGCAGTTGGAAAATGTTTTCTTATACATTTAACCTAATAAAAAAGAAGTAACGAATCAAATGTTTTGACACTCAAGCTAGTAAAGTAAGTGTTACGTTCCATAATTTAGACTATCTTAGTCCTCCTTATGCAAATTTTATTATTCTAAAAAGGTTGATATCCATTTCGAGAGGCTTTGACCAATGCCATATCTTAACATTCAAGCACAATCTTATCATCTCTGCTTCTTCCAAGTGGCCTTTTGGGGTCGTTTGGTACAATGGTGGGATATCTCATGGGTAGGATATCTCATGGGATTAGTTATAATTAATCACATCATTCTAATGTACAAGTTATTCCAGGATTAGCTAATACTTCAAATCAAACATGGGATAAAGTTACTCCCAAGCTTTATCCCCGAATTATTATTGTTACTCCCTGTACGAAACGACCCCTTATATATATTAATTTTCCTTATATAGTCCTGCTTGATTCTAGACCATGCCATTGGAACTGCCAATAATTTTACCTGGTAAGATTATCAGTACTTTTTGGGATTAATTATTATTACTATGTAAAAGTGGGGGATTGAGACCGAATATGCAACTAAGCTTAGAGAGGGCTGAGCCGTGAGTATGATTGTAGCTACCATGCTCGACTAGGACAGAGATAAATTCAGAACTTAGAATCATCAGGTTCAAAATGAGTATGATGTTATTATTATATATATATATACATTTTACAAAAATTTACTATATGAATACATAGTTCGGCCTAAATATAATGGATTCATTTAAACATACAGAACCTGGCAACCATTGATCCGCTTTGAACTAGGGTGTATTCTTTTGTTTTAGAAGAGGTTAACTTTACTAAATAGACAAGTGAATTGGCGAATAACCATTATGTTGAATCGATAGCAGTTCCTTGCCTCAATCTCCATTTCACCAAACTTTGACTTTTCCAGAAAACTGTGCACAATCTTTACCAAAAAAATACAATCAATGCGTTACATTACTATTTCTTGCACTCAATCACTTAAACATTTCTTTCATTTTTATAAATTTCTTGTGCTAATGAGCTTTCTTAAATCTCATCTATAAAACCAGACTCACAGCAAAGAGTCTCTCATCAGCAACAAATTCAACACAATCTAAAGTATTTTGTGGTGTAGGAATTGGTCTTTTAATTAACCATGAGGTCTTCAAGCCAAGTAAAAGCAGTACAACCATTGATCATGGTTCTAATTACTTTTATGCTGCTAATTCTCTTACTTGCACCAGGTTCAGAAGGTGCTATCACTTGTGGCACTGTGATTAGCACAATTAGGCCTTGCTTAACCTATTTACAAGGTACTGGTGGGAAGCCACCACAACCTTGTTGTACTGCTTGTCAATCTCTTGCATCTGCTGCTTCAACTACACCAGATAGGCAGGCTGCTTGCACTTGTCTCAAGAATGCAGCTCAAAAAATCAACATTAATGCTCAATTAGCAGAGGGTCTTCCTCAGAGTTGTGGAATCTCCTTGTCCTTCCCTATCTCAACCAGTGTTGACTGCACCAAGTACTATTCCCCCACACCCACCCACACCACACACACACACACACACACAAAAAAATGACTCGGTCACTTTGACCGTAAATATATTATCTAAATATTTGTCATTTTAGAAAATCAAGAAAATATTACTCCCTCTGTTTCATATTAAATGAGGTACTTTCCTTTTTAGTTTGTTCCAAAACAAATGACACATTTCTAAATTTGGAAATAATTCAACTTTAAACTCTTTCATTTTACCCATTTACTCTTAATGAGAAGCTTTTATAGCCACACAAATGTCATGGCCCCACAAACTTTTTATCCCTTAAGCTTTTAAGACTACATATTTCAAAAGTCTTCTTCTTTTTTCTTAAATTCCGTGCCGAGTCAAACTACCTCATATAATATGAAACGGAAGGAGAATATTTTTTCTAAAAACACTCTTACTACACCAAGAAGATATATAGTACTCGTTTGAGAAAAGAGAAGGTAATTTAGTTAAGTAGACATTATAACTAATGGTATCAAATACATTTATGGTGGATGTATGGTAATTTAGTCAAATAGACCTTATAATTAATGGTGTCAGATGATTTTTGTAATGGATATACCAAAACATTAAACGACAAAGTTTTGGTATTTTTTGGAGCAACCTTTGGTTCATGGACATCTTATCACATGCTCAAAAAAGGTCAATTTCTTGGCAATATCATCAGCCATTACTCATTAGTGATGATTGATGAAAGATACAGAATTGATTTCTCCCCTATCCCAAAACAGAAGTGTATCTGATAAATTTCTACAATGTTACTATTTTGCAGGATCAATTGAAGTGTTTTAAGAATGATGATTCTGCTCGAGCGTATTTCTTTGGCATGAGGAAGGCTATATAGCAAATAATTTGTTGGGGTGTAACTGTGTCTTTTTCTTGTTTGGTATACCCTAGATATTGTGTTCAGAGTTTTTGCACTTCTGTTTTGCATGTAATAAATTGTGCTTTCTCTGATGAGGAGACAATACAATGAGAATTGATAAATTTTCTTATAGTGGAGTATTAAACGAGCTGAGTTTATGTTATGTTGTAAATGCTGTATTTATGAGAATTTAATTTATCAAAGCTTCGGTTTCCCTTTTCTATTTTTGTGGTTGTTCTTTGTGATTAGTGGTGTTTACTAATGGATGGTTAGCGTAATTGATATATTATGCTGGTCTAACATTCAATTAATTTCGCGAGTATAATTCACGAGGCCTGCTCAATCGCAAGTGATAAGTTATGTACCATTTTATTTTGATAATTTAACAAACTTTATATGAGAACCAGACAGGGAACCCGATATAAAGCCTCTCTGTGCTCAAAACAACAAATTACATGTCTGGCACAAATTCCAATGAAATCAGTTAAGGGAACGGGAGAGGAAACATATGACTATCAGTTCCTCCGACACAGTACAAGTCAGCTCTTTACAGCTGTTAAAACTGCTGCACGGCAGACGCAACAGTGCATCAGTCACTGTTGAAGCATGTTGTGTACCGCACACGTGCTTGCATCATCCTAGTGACCTCACTTATATATTACCAAAATGAGGCAAGGGATTACACACACTTGCAATCCCTAAAACGTAATTCACTCTCCAGTGTGCAGCCGCTTTCATTCACTCCAAGGCATTGAAGAACAAAGTAGCAACAGAACGAAGGACCAGATCCCAACAGTGAGTACATCATGTGTCCTTAGTATTTTTGTATCTTTGTTAACGTTATTCACTTCTAACTCCTACTCAGCTTATTTAGAAGCATCTCGTAGGATACCTTTGTAAACCTTAAACCTTGTGTTTGTGTTTGACTAGAGTTAGTCAAAGTAGTTAGCTTTGTAATAGAGTTATTACAAAGAGGCTTACAATATAGTTATTGCAAGTAGGTGAGGGATTAAGAGCTTAGTTCCTAGGTTACAATAGGTTGCAATCTAAAATTGCTCGGTTAGTGAAGTTGAAATCCTACGAGTGCATGTCGTGGTTTTTAATCCCGTGAGCTAGGAGTTTTCCACGTAAAATATTATTGTGTTATCTACATGGCTGCTCCACCAAATTTTGAAGAAGGTCAATCAACCTACAAATCACCAAGGTTTATGGACAATACTATGGACGGTGGAAGACAAGAATGCATGATTTTATCATGGCTGAAAACCCGAAGCTCTGTGATGTCATCTGTGACGGACCCTTTGTCCATATGAAGACCATTGGCGAGACGACTATCCAAATTCCAAAGACAAGGAAAGAGTATAATGATGGCGAGCGCAAAGCCATTGAGAAAAAACTTTCGAGCAAAGAAGATCCTTGTCTGTGTTATTGGACCAGACGAGTTCAACCGAATCTCAGCATGTCAATCTGCCAAGGAGATCTGGGAGGCTCTCCAAACTACATATGAAGGTACCACTCAAGTCAAGCAGTCAAAAATCGACATGCTCACTACTGAGTATGAACTCTTCAAGATGAAGGATGATGAGTCCATTCGGGACATGCATACTCGCTTCAATTCCATCATTAATGAGCTTCCTTCTAGGAGAGATTTTCCCAAGGAACAAATTGGTCGGAAAAATACTCAGTGTGTTACTTGGTTCCTGAGAGAGCAAAGTCAATGCTATCACGGAGGCAAAAGATCTACAAAAGCTGACGGTTGATGAACTCATTGGAAATCTGAAGACCTACGAAATGAAGAAGAAGAAGGATCATGAAAGAAGAGAACACAAAAAAGAGAAAAATTTGGTTCTCAAAGCAGACAACAGTGACTCAAGTGGTGATGATGCTAACATGGCTTATTTGACACGGAGGTTTCAGAAAATGGTTCGTAGAAATGGAGGTATTCCAAAAAAAGGCAGCTCTAGTAGAACAAAAGGCTATGATCGCTCTCACAAATGCAGGAAACCAGGACATTTCATCAAAGATTGTCCTATCCACAAGTAGGACCATTACAAGCACAACATATACAAGACAGCCAAGAGGAACCTGGTCCCCGACAGGAAATTTAAGAGAAAAGATATCGTTGATAATGTTATGAAACAAGCTCTTGCTATATGGGGAGATTTCTCTAGTGAATCTGAGGGCGATGATGAACAAGGCGACACCTCCAT